GCTATCCATGGAGTTCCTAAGTTTTTTTAAAGTGACTTAAGACACCTATATTGATGAGTTTGGAACGCAAGGCAAGTGCTAAGACTGGCCACATAGGCACTGGGCTACCTTGTTGCACACAGCTTTGACAGGAACAGCTCAAACTTGTACTGGCTCTGCTTTACCATTTGCCAAGTACATTATGATATGACTCTGTCAAGCAAACAATTCTAGAGCCGTATACTTGTTACCTGTAAGTATCAACGCGCATTGTCGTAACGAAACAACTATGACAAGATCAAACTTGTTTATAGAGTTTTGCTCGTGAGAAAAAAGTTGCATTTGAGAGGTTGGTTAGGTCTGCAAGAGTTAGCAACTATACTCAACTACGACAGCCTTGTTCAGTTGTTACTACATGAAGATTAACAACGTGTATGTCTGCTACATACAAGAATATCTGACCGATCATACTATCCCCTCGATATTCAGAAACTGCAGCTTAAGCATACAATTACGAGATTTCTCTCACAACTGTGTAACGTACTAAAAACAGAGAAACAAGGGTAACTAAAAGTGTCCTAGAAGTTGCAAACCTAAATCACTGCTCATTGCCGGCCTGATGCATCTGCTACTGTAACTTTCTCAACCTTTACCAGGAAAACTCACAATCCCGTATCTGTCACTGTGGCTAGACAGAATCTGATATCGAGAAGAAAGTTAAATGTACCTATTTGTAACAAAAAGAGTACATGCTAGAGAGTACGTATTGCCTAATAAGATTGAAAAGAGATACGAGAACGACCGTCGTGCGGGCAGGCTCCCCACTCATGAGTCGTATCTTCTTTCCGAGCAACAAAGGCACCAAAATCCTAGTACACCTCTGATCCTAACTGTTTTTAGATAATGTTACCTCAAGGATAAATGACTAAGCGCAAGAGAGTGGTATCTGACGAAAAGATTCGTTATCAGCGATGAGCCTTACTTTTTCGAGAGTGTAAAGTAGGATTTGACGAATCGCAACTAACTGAGGTAATTACTTTCCAGAGACACTGGCAGTTAACTCACGTTATTAAGAAAAGATGTACTGACCATAACTGATGATACCTATACCAAGAAAGATGAAATGGTTAGAAGCCTGTGTGGGGCTGTTATAAAAAGTACCGTCTTCACAAAATAAAACATTGAAACAGAAGCTGTTAAACTGGGATATATTTCAGTGGGTATATCCATTGGTGTATTTCCCATCAGGTCAGTGGACTTGTTTGATAGGAACGATATCCTGCTGGTAATGTAAAAGAACCTGTGATTGATAATAACACTGATGATAATAATTGCCATTGAAGCATGTAGAAGCATCTAAATTATTATCCTCTCAGCTCAAAAACTAGAGCTATGGTCAAAGATTACAACAACATACCCTATTCTCCTGTATTGAGTTAATGGATGACAATGATTTGGGCTTGAATATGTTTATTTAGTGACACTCAGCGCCCAGGGGTCATTACACCAACTGAACTCCCCCTTGTCTTCACCCTAGTACCAAGACACTACTGAACGTTAAATATTCTAACAACAGTCGTGATGAATAATCAAGGATCAGTTATTGTTGATCAGTCACTGGAAAGACTGAAGATAAACAGGTTACCGAGAGTTGAAGCAAAGGATCTCGATAATGATACTATTAAAGTAACGGTGTACTGATGGAGTAAAAATACATCTTAAGTTTGGTCCAGCTGATAATGTTCCACCACAGTCAAGCATCACGTAGTGTTACAAGTTACATTCGTGGAACAAGCCATGAATTTGCTCACAATAGTCCCATAATAGGAGACATTTGGGTGGTCAAGAAGACACTCGGTAAACTGGCAAAACATTTTCTTGGCCCAAAGGATGAAGGAAACAGTAGCTGATCAGAGAGCGACGTTGCCAAGTGTGTCAAGTACAGGCAAGCCAGCACACACTGTCCTCCCACCTGCAACCTCTCATTCGTACACTGTGGATGGTGAACCATGCTCACGTCTATAATTGATTGTGTGTCCTTTGCTAGTGCCAAAACTAGGAAACCAATACTTTATTTACTATTTATTGACGCTGCAACAACACGCATCCCGAAGCTATTCCAATGAGAACAATTAATGCTCGGGAGCTATTGTCAGAGAGCGCTGATGAAATTTTTCTCCCAGGTTGATTGCCACGAGAGATACAATCAGATCAGGAATACAAATTTCATCGATTCTTAAGATCTTTCGAGAAGCATTATCCCACTAGTAATAAAGTCTGTACATTTCAACCCAGTTATCATCCACAGGTCACACGGTGCTCTAGAGAAGATTTCACAGACACTGAAAGTCCCCCCAAGATGAGATCTTATTGTGAACATTTTTCTAGAGACTGGGATGAGGGTAATACCTTTTCCTTCTGTTCGCTTATGAGAGAAAGTGACAAAAAGTCTCGGGTATAGCCCGTTTGAATTAATAAAATTCGACACCAAGTGTCTGGTGGTCCTCTCCAGTGTTAAAAAGACGTGTGGACAACGGAAAATCAAATCCATCATTGAGCACATCACCTTCATTAATGCACCAACATTTGACAGCCGCTAGAGAGCTAGCTTCGAAAAACCTAGTTTCATCCCAAGCAAGAAGAAGCAACATTATACACGCGTGCCTGTCTCTTGTTCTTTTTAACCCTTTGAGTCGAACAGGGGCCCTCTCCGAAACATCGTTCTCAGGGTCGCAAATTTAAAAAAAAAAAGAAAAAAATATTTACTCTTATGAAAAGATATAGGAATCTTTTTCCCGATCATAAGGACACCAAAAGTTGAAATTTGATGGAAAACATTACGGAATTATGCTCTTGCAAAGTTAGTGGTCTCGCGATGTTTACGCATCGCGATTTTGCCCACCTTGAGCCCCATTTACCGGCCCAATTCACTGTACTATTGACAAACAAACATGAATACTTTGCTAGAACATTCCATTTTTCTATCGAATGGGCGGCAAGAAACTACCCATTTATGAAATTTCAACTATCTCAATTACAGTGGTCAGAATTTACAATTTTGCCAATTACACACAAATTCAAAAGATTGCCAATTTCCCGAATAGGGTCCAGAATAAACAAGAAAGACAATCCTGGCATTAAAATGACATTTCCTCTAGTCATTAGTCCACGTCTCAAAGGCCCCTCTTATATCTATTGTTGCTTCCGACTTGAAATTATTATTCTCACAAAAAATAAAGATTTTACTGTTATGCAGACTAACTGCATTAAATTGTAAAAAATGTTATAAATATTATTGGTGCACTTGTGAAAGAATAATAGACTCACCAGTTGACGTGTATTGCACAGCTTGGCTAACGATTTGTTTACTTTTGAAATTGGTAAAAATCGAACATTATCATGCTACTTTTGAGCTCAATTCAAGGTACCTTTCATTGTAAAACCAGTCCAAAATCATCTCAATTTCTGTAGTATGTCTTCCATCTATAAAATGAGACCAAGCAAACTAGATACAACACTAAATACCATACGAAAAAATACGTGCAAATGTCGCTGTTTAATTCCAAAAAATGGTCAGTTTTTTTTTTTTTCTCATATGCACTGTGTGCTGCAGGATTTTTTTTAGACTGTGCACACGACCACAGACACATTCTTTCACATGAAGCCTACCACTTTCCTCTCCACTAGATTTGAGGGCGCTAGTATTTAGGCATACTATATGGTCAAAAACCCTGGGGGTCCGTAATCCTGTACTAGTACGTCCGAAACCCTCAAGAGTTAAAGCAGGAGATAAGGTGATGGCTCGGAAATAGACCAGGTCATGCTACTACAAGCCATTATGATTGTCCCCTGGAAGTATTAAAAGGATTAGCGACGTAAATTATTGGTATGACGTACGCCTGGAGAAAAGAAATCTAATCATTTGTACCAATGTAACCAGCTAAACATACTACGCAATTCCTCTACCAACTACATCTATTCATCCTAGGACAGGGAAGAAAAAACGTCAGTCTAACCTGACATCTCTAGAGGTGTAGAGGTGCGTTTAGAAATTCAGTGACTACAATCACTAGACACTTTTCATAGTATCTTGGGATTGATAAAGCCTGGAGATATAAAACATGATTTTGTATTTCCCTGAATTGTTCGGTGATGTTCCTAAACGTTGTAATCTGGATGTACATGACGTTGATGTACAGGGAGCATCAACACCCATGTAAGGCAATCACCAAAGAATATGTCCAACCACCAAGATATCTAGACCAACTGAATACTTACATGCGATGTGAGGACGGCCTCCCCCCCTCTATCATGTGATAGCTCCGTGGGACAGCTGCAGCTCAGCAATCAATTGGCAGGAAACGAGCCACGAAGCAAAAAATACGAGTAGTTAGACAATCAAAGAACTTGAACTTTGAGCACATAATATGTTACACATCCTACTAACAACATAACTACGTCAAATAATACTAATCTAAAGCAATATATTACAATTTAGCTATTAATGCAGATATAAGTAATATAAAATTATATGAAAAGGTAATATACATGTAATATATATGCATACATTGCAACCCATTCAGGTTGCAACACCCCCGCAACACGACAAACTGTCGCACTAGGAGTTGCATTAATGTCTTTCACATTATTACTGATTACTCATATCAATACAATTTAATATAAAATTATATGAAAAGGTAATATACATGTAATATATATACATACATTGCAACCCATTGAGGGTTGAATGTAAACAAACCAGGTGGCATGCGGTGACCGTATTAGAGAGTCAGGTGAGGGGAGCTGTATAGCGAATTTTGGCATAATTTGAAATGTCCGTATTGCCGGAACACTGTAAGGCAAAATGCCATAAAGCGGAGGCCTTACTGTAGTTTGTTTTTTAGCTAGAAAATGCAAGTATGTAATTGTTTAAGTGGCACAAAAGATAGCTTTCAAGCTTTGTATGACTAGTTATAAAATAGGTGAATTTATTAGGCTGTTTCAGTTTTCAGCACTATCTTATTTTTTTCTAAATTTCAGAAGCAGCATCATGGCAGAAGGCAGTGGCAATAGGTACCCTAGACGGGGGTACTACAACACTGGCTATGCAGTACCACCAGTCCCTTATCCACCTGTACCAGTGGCTACATACCATGTGCCACCTCCTCAGGATGTGTATGTCTCACCCTACCAGGGTAGCATGCAGTACAGCCAGTACCAGGATAACACCCAGTATGCTGGAACCACTCACCTTCCATCCAATACACATTATGAAGTGAATACTCATTATCATGGTAGTAACCAGTACCAAGGAAATGTGCCATTCCAAGACAGGACAAACATGCAGTATCAGTCCAGCTGTATGATACAGAACAATTTTACACCTGCAACTCAAATGAATTTTGATAACACCTTCTCAAATTTTAATGCCAATCATGGTCCTTTAACTCCCAGTGTAGAGTACGGGTTTGAGAGCAATAGGCATTATGCACCTGGACAGCCAAGTGGAAGACACGAACAGGGTGTTATCTTGAGCATGAACTACCACGGTGTAGTGAACCCAGAACGAAAAGAGTCCCTGACAGGAGATGGGGATGGTGCTACAGGTAGTAGTTCTGCTGAGAAACGAATAGAAAATTCCTTGAAAAGCCCTCAGGCGTCTCCTAATAATTTTCCTATTGATAGCTTTAGTATTAATGCACATACAAGGGAAAATCCAACATTTGGTAATGTAAATGAAAATTCTACTTACGGATATTCTGGGGATAAAACTAATTACACTACAAGTGAAGGTGTAAAAGCAAAGGGATCATCACGAGGGCGTGGAGTACAGGGAAAACGAGGAGGGAGGAGGAGTTATGCAAATGAAAAACCTGGCCAAGGGTATGCTAATACACAAAACACCAACAACAGCAATGGCTGGTTTGATAACCAGTCAAACAATGTAGATGAGAAGCAACGTGATCGAAACACTGCCCTTGCTGAGACTGCTGCATTTATGAAAAGCATGAATATTAGAAAAAGTGCAAATGCAAACCCAAAAGAAGAAATTAATAATGATAGAAGACCTAGAGGTGGGTGGGGGAGACAAGATCGAGGAGCAGGACGTGGTATGGGCAATAGACGTCAACAGAGAGATTTTGGTGAGGAGAAACAAGGAAAAGAATGGCTGAATCGGCAGGTGAGAACAGGTGATGAAAAGAATCATATAGAAAGAGCTGACAGTTATCCTGAACAAATAGATTGTGTGGATAAAATGCAGAGAAATGAAAGATCAAGCAATCGTGGTCGAGGGAATTGGAGAAATTATGGTCAAGATGGAAGTAGAACTTTTGAAAATAGTGAACATAATTGGGAACCAAATACACACCCTGATCAGGATGAAAGTAAGGTAGTTACCATCGGATTATTGATGAATGCAAGGCCTGCTAGGGGATGTGGTCGAGGAAAACAAGATAAGAGGCTCTGGGGTAATGGTGATAACAGTAGCAATCCTAGCAGTGACACTCTTACTGGTAGTAGGAGTGTGAAGAAAGAAAACAAATCAAATAAGGAAGAAAGTTTGGTGTCAGCATCTAGTAGAATGATTAGCAGCAATGAGGATGAGGAGACACAGCGTGGACGTTTAACTGAACAGTTGACTAAAGGAACTTATGAATGTATGGTGTGTTGTGATCGTATCAAGCAGCAACATGCCATATGGTCGTGCATCAATTGCTATAATTGTTTCCACCTCGGGTGCATCAAGAAGTGGGCCAAGACCTCTACTGGGGGTGAGTTTTTCTTTGTACATTATTTTGTTAAAAATTGATGGTAATATGCTTGTTTTTAAAATATAGGAGCATAAAGTGAAAAACAAATTTCCACTAAATAACCTGGAGGTGTTTCTGGGGTCAATGTTCCCTTGCCACCGTCCATGCCATGCCTTCAAATTATTTAACAAGTTCATGAATAGTTTTAATTTATTCGTGTTTATATTGTTATTAGGTATCCAAGGAAGGTGGAATCTTTGTTATTTTCTTTTCTGAGTAATCTTTATTTTTTTCTTCTCTGTATTATTTAATAAAAACCCTTTCAAGGTTGAGAAGGCCCTCACCCCAACTCGTCTCAGGGTCGAAAATTTTTTTTGGGGGGAAATTTTTTTTTTTCTAGAAATGATAGAGAATCTTTTTTCAAACATAACGACACAAAAATTATAATTTTGATTGAAAGCTTATGAATTGTCTCTTGGCGAATTTAACGGTATCGGCGATATTTTACGCAATGGAGATTCCGCTCTACTTTTGAGCTCTATTATCAGCCAATGCCAAGTGGCAATCTACTAAAATCATAGCTTATTTATTCGCTAGACATCCATTATTCTATCGAATGGAGTACAAGAAACCCAACCATTTGAACCCGATTTCAACAAGAACCCAATAAAAGCATCAGAAAGATTGACAATTTTGCCACTTCACACAAAATTTCAAAAATGCAATTACAAAATAAGGGCCCAAAATAAACAAAGACAGACATTCCTTGGACACTAAAATATCATTTTATCTGTTCATAGTCACCAACTTCTCCAGGCAGTGCAGTAATATACATAACATTAAATTTTTCTATTTTTTTGTTGAGAAAAATTCGAAATGGAAAGCAAAAGATGTAAATCACTTTTGCTTTCCATTTTGAATTTTTATTCTCACAAAAAAAAAAAGAAAATTTAATGTTATGTATATTACTGCACCATTGTAAAATTGGTGTAAATAATATCAGCACACACTGTGCAAAGAATATTAGACTCACCAGTTGACTTGCTTTGGACACGTGGCATGATTTGTTTATTCTTGAACATTGGCAGAAATCGAGTATTTTTGCTACTTTGCACTCAATTTCAAGGTACTTGTCGTCATGAAGCCAATCAAAATTAGCTCTATTTCTGTAGTATATCTTCCAAGAACACAAGAATACAACCATAAACACCATACGAAAATAGACTGAAAAGTTGCTGTTTTAAACCAAGAACACAGAGTTGTTTTTTCTTATGCACTGTGTGCTGCAGGGTTTTTTTTTATACTGTGCACATAGACTACGCAGATCCATTCTCTCACATGTAGGCCTACCAGTCTTTTCCTGCTTGATTTGAAGGCGCTAGAATTTACGTGTACTAGTGTGACACCAACCCTGGCGCGTAAGCCGTACTAATACGGCACCAACCCTGAAAGGTTTAAATGACTGGCAGCAAACTTTCAACTACCATATTGTGCATCATAACAAAAGGAAGATTTGTATTGTGTAGATTCCTATTTGCAAGGATTAATTAAAACAAAATTTTGAGGGTTATTGTTTTCAGGCTGCTAAAGCAACATACACTATAACAGATTAGTAGAACTATACCTGTTACCTGACAAGTAAGGGTCAGGTTTTTAAATTTTTTTTTTTTACTGTACTGGTATGAAACAAAAAACGTGACTAGGGAATTTGATTGCTTGCATTATATATGGAGATGCAATGCAGTCAAATAAAATCCCTAGTGACAAAGTTTTTGATTCATTCCAGTACAGTAAAATAAAAAAAAAAATGAAAAATGCATGTTCGTCTTTATCTCTGCTGTAATCCCCCACGGTAGTACAGTGGACCCCCGCATAACGATTACCTCCGAATGCGACCAATTATGTAAGTGTATTTATGTAAGTGCGTTTGTACGTGTATGTTTGGGGGTCTGAAATGGACTAATCTACTTCACAATATTTCTTATGGGAACAAATTCGGTCAGTACTGGCACCTGAACATACTTCTGGAGTGAAAAAATATCGTTAACCGGGGGTCCACTGTATCTTGGTCCATCTTCTCTTCTTTTTCTCTTTCAGTAACTTGTATTCTAAATCTTAAGCCAGTATTCTTTGCTGATGGTGCAACCTTTCTCCTATACGTACAGTGGTACCTCGGGATACGAACAGCTCCCAACTCGAACAATTATGCGAGTGTATTTATCAAAGTTCTTTTGAAAGTGTATTTTTCGGGGTCTGAAACAGATTAATCTAATTACATTATTCCTTATGGGAACAAATTCCTTAGGTATCAGCACTTGAACAGCCTTCTGGAACGAATTAAGTTCGTATGCCAAGGTACCACTGTACAGTGGACCCCTGGTATTCGATATTAATCCGTTCCTGAGAGCTCATCGAATACCGAAAATATCGAAAAGCGAATCAATTTTCTTCATAAGAAATAATGGAAATCAAATTAATCCGTGCAAGACACCCAAAAGCATGAAAAAATAAAATTTACCACATGAAATATTAAGTTTAATGCAATAGAATAATTACAATAATAACAATAACAAGAGAATAATTGACACTTACCTTTAATGAAGATCTGGTGATGATTGATGGGATGGGAGGAGGGGAGTGTGGATAGTGTTAGTGTTTAGAAGGGGAATCCTCTTCCATTAGGACTTGAGGTAGCAAGTCCTTTTCTGGGGTTAGTTCCCTTCTTCTTTTAATGCCACTAGGACCAGCTTGAGAGTTACTGGACTTCTGTCGCACAACATATCTGTCTATAGAGGCCTGTACCTCCCGTTCCTTTATGACATTCCTGAAGTGTTTCACAACATTGTCAGTGTAATAGCCACCAGCACGGCTTGCAATAGCTGTGCTAGGGTGATTGTCATCAAAAAAGGTTTGCACTTTAAGCCACATTGCACACATTTCCTTAATCTTTGAAGTAGGCAACTTCTTCAATTTCTCTCTCCCCTCCTCCGAACCAGTTTCCTCAGGTCTGGCCTCTTGCTGTTGAAGATGATCTAGCAGCTCATCAGTGGTTAGTTCTTCACTGTCCTCCTCCACCAACTCTTCCACATCCTCCCCACTAACCTCCAACCCCAAGGACTTCCCCAATGCCACAATGGATTCCTCAACTGGCATAGGCTTCTCAGGGTTAGCCTCAACTCCTTCAAAATCCCTTTTGTCTACACATTCTGGCCACAGTTTTTTCCAAGCAGAGTTCAAGGTCCTCTTAGTCGCTTCCTCCCAAGCCGTACCTATAAGGTTTATACAATTGAGGATATTAAAGTGATCCTTCCAAAACTCTTTTAGAGTCAGTTGAGTTTCTGTGGTCACTACAAAGCACTTTTGAAACATAGCTTTTGTGTACAGTTTCTTGAAGTTGGAAATGACCTGCTGGTCCATGGGCTGCAGGAGAGGAGTGGTATTAGGAGGCAAAAACTTGACCTTAATGAAGCTCATGTCCCCAGAAAGTCGCTCTGCCAAGTCTGTAGGATGACCAGGGGCATAGTCTAATACCAGGAGGCACTTAAGGTCTAATTTCTTTTCAGTTAGGTAATTTTTCACAGTGGGGGCAAATGCATGGTGTAACCAGTCATAGAAAAAGTTCCTAGTGAACCATGCCTTACTGTTTGCCCTCCACAGCACACACAAATTAGCCTTAAGGACATTGTTTTTCCTGAACACTCTGGGAGTTTCAGAGTGATACACCAATAAAGGCTTCACTTTGCAATCACCACTAGCATTGGCACACATGAGAAGAGTAAGCCTGTCTTTCATAGGCTTATGTCCTGGGAGTGCCTTTTCCTCCTGAGTAATGTAGGTCCTTCTTGGCATTTTCTTCCAAAACAGGCCTGTTTCGTCACAATTAAATACTTGTTCAGGTTTAAATTCTTCACTGTCTATATATCCTTGAATTCCTTCACATATTTTTCAGCTGCTTTTTGGTCCGAACTGGCAGCCTCACCATGCCTAATCACACTATGTATGCCACTACGATTCTTAAATCTTTCAAAACAACCTTTGCTGGCCTTAAATTCACTCAAATCAGCACTAGCTGCAGGCAATTTCTTTACCAAATCGTCATGCAACTGCCTAGCCTTTTCACAAATGATTGCTTGAGAGATACTATCTCCTGCTATCTGTTTTTCATTTATCCACACCAATAATAGTCTCTCAACATTTTCTAACACTTGCGGTCACTGTTTCGTAATCACAGTTGCACCTTTTGCAAGAACAGCTTCCTTGATTGCCATATTCCTGGTTACTATAGTAGAGATGGTTGATTGGGGTTTACTATACAACCTGACCAGCTCCGACACACGCACTCCACTTTCGTACTTTGCAATTATCTCTTTCTTCATTTCAATAGTCATTAGCACCTTTTTTCTCGAAGGGTTGACACTAGAAGCTTTCTTGGGGCCCATGGTGACTTATTTTGCAGAAACAAGCACCAAATACAGTGATATGGAATGTACCGAATGTATCCTTAGATGCACGCACACTGGCTGGCTTGTAAACACTGGCACACATGGGGCATTTTCAGGCCACACGTGGACACATCTCGTACGAATCGTATCGAATACCGGGTTTTCAGTCGGATACCGAGGCGAAATTTTTGCGATAAAATGCATCAAATACCGATGCCATCGAATACCGGGGGTCCACTGTACTTTGAGTCCCTGATTTTAAACACCATAATTTATGATGAGCTTAAAAAAATTCTACAATTGAATAATTACAAATGAACTCTCCCTTAACCCTTTGTAAGATGTATATATAAAACACTGAGCCAGTGTCGGTGATGTATTAACCCTTTGACTATTTTGGTCATATACATGTATATACGTCTTACGAACCAGCGTTTCGGACGTATATATGTATACTCAATAATTCTAGTGGCTTCAAATCAAGCAGGAGAAAACTGGTAGGCCCACATGTGAGAGAATGGGTCTGTGTGGTCAGTGTGCACCACATAAAAAAAATCCTGCAGCACGCAGTGCATAATAACAAAAAACTACTGTTTTTTCGGATTAATACGGCAATTATGAGATGTATTTTCATATA